AATGGAAAGTTCTTCTCATGGTAATTATGTGGACTATTCATGCGGTTGACTCACAATTTAGCTATCGACTTGACTGGTCCAAAGCTTCCACGATTTACAATCTTGGTGTAGAGAACCGATTTTTTCTTTATTCAAACCTTAATCAAATGATAAAGCTCCCCCCACACTAAAACCCGACACAGTGGTCGATTCGCCAGCTGCAAATATAGATACTCTGTACTAGCTTGCTTTCAAGTTGATAAATTTACGATTCTGTCTTGAGACGCTGATTGCTGTATAACCTATTGATGGGCAACAGTGGAAAATCAGCGAGCAAGGTTGATCATGAACACAGAGCATGGAACGTGTGATTTATCGGCTTCAGGCGAACATAAAAACTGGGCTCTAAGAATTTCGCATTTTTCCCAGAAAAAAAGTCTACAGGTTTCTTTGCTGTAGATTTTACTGTGTACATCGAGCAGCATTTTTCCTGTACAACATAAGAATGATGTTTTCGTTGTAGTGAAAATGAAAAAAAAAAGGAATTTGGAACTTTAGTTATTATGCATTGTCTGAAGATCAGTCTGAAATAAGCTATTTATACAAAACAAAACACCCATATAAATTTTAGCCTTTTCCTTAGAGTTTCTAAATTCCAACAATGAGGGCGTCTGTATGTATTTCCGACCGACCCTCCTTTTGGCTTTGTTATTATGCTGAAGACCCTGTCTGGAATTTCCAACTAAGAAAAAAGATAAAACATGATAATCTTCAGAATTTCTGGGGGCAAGGAAGACATTTATTTTAACCTTCTTTCCCCCACCCATCGACCTTCCCTCAAGGTCAAAAATATATGAAACCACTTAAATACATAACTTCAAACATCTTGAAACAATGTTGTCAAAGTTTTCTATCACTAACCAAAAAGTCACGTCAGTGTGCTTTGATTGCCGCGCAGATAACACAGCCTAAGGCTTCGAAGACTAATGATTTTTTTGGGGGGGGGGTAATTCCTGTATGCAAGTCGTAGACGTCAAGTTGGTTTGTAAACTACGAGGGAACTCACGAACGTATTAACCTGGTAGCCGGAGGCGTACAGGATGCGCATTTTTACTTGTGCTTATGCCGTCAGATTTCAGTCTGCTTTGTAGGAATGAAGACCGAACAGGGGAATCGTAGCTAAATTTTCGCAGAAAAGCCTCCAAGGTGGTACGTCCTTTTAGCGAAAAAAATGCTCCTGATGTTCTACAGTACAGGAAGTGATATCAGCCAGGATTTCGCGCAAACAGACAGGGGCCTATCGTAAGATGTTGTTGCAGTGTTCAAAATATTCTGTGGCTTGTAGTTGAAATTATGATGATGCTTTACCATGGTGGCTCCTCACAAATCATAAACATAATTCAAGTGGGAGACCATTATTTATTAATGAATCTTATGTGTCTTTCTTTATTGGAATATGCCTTAACTGTAGAGGCTTATTGTTACCAATGTGGCTACAGTCATCGCTGACACTGTTAACACGGCAATAACGAATTAATATAGACTTCATTAAACAAGCCCCAGGATGATTAGACAGAATTACTGGCTGTGAAGCTGTTAAACCTTCCTTACCTAACAAAAAGACCAGTATAAAGTAAACAAACAACAAACAAACAAATACGAACCCCAAACAATAACGACAACAACTACTACTACCGTACTGCAACTACAATAACAAAAAACAATCAAGAACATCAGTCAACAACAACCAACCAACAACATCAAAACTACAACAATTATTTAGTCCACATAACTCAGGTTAATTATATTCTCTGTTTCCGGTTGTAGAATACGTCGTCTTTCGATAGGCTGATCTGACCAAACGCTAGCAAGAACAGTGTCTCAGTGTGGTTGGTCAGCACACCCCATTCCATTCGGAGAATCACGTTCATTTTAAAGAAGCTGCACTTTTTGTCGCCCTCAGTTCAACCACAGTTCAACCATGACATCTCATGGCAGGATTTCTTGAACATCTGAGAGCGGAGATATCAAATGGACGACTCCAAGGTCCCCAGGAGCTCGACGAGTCTTTTGTAGCGCGTGTCACGGGTAATTGGTCCTGGCATGTGCATCATGTTAGCCCGGGATCTTGGGGAGCCTCTTATTCTAAGTAGGCGGAACACTGATTTCCTTTTTTCGCAAGTTTGGCGTCCTGACTGACATTTTTATTTCGTCCTGTCATGGCATTTACGAGCTGCCGCTTGGCAGGCATATCGTTCACCGGAAACCAACTGAATCCAAGTTGACTTAGCTCTATAAGGATTGATCCGAAGCTGTGGCAAATAAGTAAAATCCTCGATGTAATGAGCGCAAATTCCACACTCCGGCATTGGAGAAGGGGCAGTCCGGTCGTCCGTACCTTTTTAAAACTAGAACGAGCAAACAGAATTCTTATTACCCAATGTTCTATACCCAGCAAGAAATGAGACCGAGGGGTACCCCCCAACATGTCCAATCCCTGTACACATTCCAGACTACTGTTACTTAACACATCCCCCCAAGATGTCTGAAAGGATTTCCCCTGATTCCTGCGAGACAATGACCAACACAAAGCAGTGGGGGGGGTTCTCTCCGTCTCATACCTTGCTGCATATGTCATGTTCCAAGCTATGGTTGGTCAGTGCCCCTGGGTAGCTCTGCATATACACCACGTTCTCCTGGCTTACATGTACATGCAGTTGCTGTACCTCAAAGTTCATTTTCACTTTCTGGTTTTACGGGGCAGGCATCTAAAAGTTCAGAAATTTGAAAGCGTGTCATCACCCTCCAACAGCTGAATTTAGACTTGTATAACCAAAGACTAAGAATGTTTTCTATTATTTAGACCATAGATGATTGGTTTAAAATCCTGACTTTCAGAAGTGCTGATCGATTTTTTTTCCTGAAGACATCAAATTTATCAAAATTAAATTCGAAGTAAAAAAGGTCGTAGTTTGGGGGGATTTAGTTTTAAATGCCTCCAAAGTATCTCTTTGAATTGACCCAAATATTGACGGAGTGGCTCTAAATAACACTATTTTACGCGATGCCGTTTATATAGGATTTGGAACTAGATTTATTTATTTATTTATATCTAATAATCCAGCAGCGCATTTAGAGCCGATTACAGGATGATAATGAATGAAAAATACACTAAAGAAATGTTCAGTTTTAGAGGTGGGAGGAAAACCCTGAATAAATGTTTCGGGGAAAACCCACGGACTCAGGTTGGGACTGAAAACCCAATCCACATGTGGGCCGAGCCGGATTCAAACCCGGACCGCAAAGATGGAAGGCGAGGAAAGAAACGCGAGGCCAACCCGACTCCCCAGAATTTACTTGTACAATTTGCCATAAACATCTCTAGATTCAGATAAAATGTGGAAGTAGCACAAGTTATCCCCACAGTAAGTCCTGTCTACATCACCGTGTACAAAGCACGCTTAATGCGTGGCGAAGAGACTTTGTGGTCCTGCGTCGCATTTATACGATGGCAAAGTAGGCTGTCGCTGGCCAAGGTTTTCTCATTTGTCAACAACATCTCGCTGCGTGATTGGGACATCATGCAAATATTTTCACCTTTTTCGTCAAGGTGCGTTCGACATATTTCTGCAGAATTTACTTGCGAGATTTTTTTTCGCCCGTACACTTTGACATTACGCATTGCATTTACCCCCTTACTTGTTAAACTTCTTTTATAAGCACTGCATAAAATGTATTTGAGGGAATTCCAACACGAGTGGCTGCTTGAACCTGACAGAGCAGAGTAACAAGCTACATGAGATTGTATTGTGCTCATGGTGGTCATTGTTGATATCACTGTTGTCCTTAATGTCGTCATAACTCACACTGCTTAATTGAGAGCTTATGTGTTGTTCGCAAAATGTATATCTATTTGCCGGCATTGTTCCTCGCAAGCTTTGTGCCATGAATATTTAATTCACAGATGAAGGCAAACTGTAGTCATTGTTTGACGGTGTCTCTGTCTGATCCATTGTGTCTCGTCAAATCCTCCCCGTGAGGCGGTGGAATTGTGCCGGAGACGAGGCAACCTAGCTTCAACGCGAGGCCTACGCACGAGCAGTTCTCAGATTGTGTGACCGTAGGAAGGCTTCGCATCGTTATTAATCACCATGCACTGTATTCGATCCGTGTGCAGTGTTGGTGGGGCCGCTGCCGTTCGAAATAGTGCATTGCCCTGGCCAATGTCACTCGAGCTATTTCCCATTTTGTAGATTTTTTTCTCTCATCTTCTTCCGCCTATATACAAAACAAACGTCCTGTTGCTTTGTATAATTTTTCATTTTTGCTCTGCATAATTTTGATGTTTGCAGCTGGAAAGATTTTTCTAGGTAATTACAAATGGGCTCATGGTATCCCAAGCACCGTGATTACACGCCAAAAGGAATACACTTTAAATACACACACTCTAATAATTATTCCTTCTCTTGGTTAACTCAGAAAATGGAAGCTTTTAAATGATGGCCAAAACAAGACGTCGCATACAACTCATGACAATAAAAAACAACAGCCCAATATCAGAACGATAGCAATACATTATGTATGATCACTTCAAGGACACGTGCATAACAGTAGCACCATTCACTGTCGTAATGTAGTGACAATACGGGCGATTCACAATAGTGCGCCTCCAACAGTTTGCAACGCGTTGACCAATCACAGAAATCGAAAATCTGTCGAACCTTCCCAAACGCGCATTGGGTGGACAGATTTTGCGCACTGCGATTGGTCAACGCGTTGTGAACTCTTGGAGGTGCACTATTGTGAATCGCCCGTATTTGATGGGTACAAGTAGATCACCAGCTTAATGTTCTGTTTTGGTTTCTGTCATCAAATGTAAACTTTGGGGCTTAACGTTTAAACGAAAAAAATAAACATGTTATTTGAAAGAAATGGTTCCACTATAATACATCGTTTAATTGCTTGAACTAACGTCGCATGCGGTTGAACCTCTGTTTCTTGTTTGGTGTTTCTTTTCTCAGTTAGCCAAACAAATGGCCTGGAACCCAGCAAGCGGTCACGAACGGCATACACGCGTTACCAGACCCTGGAGCTGGAGAAGGAATTCCACTTCAACCGCTACCTGACGCGACGGCGACGCATCGAGATCGCCCACGCTCTGGGCCTGACGGAGCGGCAGATCAAGATATGGTTCCAGAACCGCCGCATGAAGTGGAAGAAGGAGCATAACGTCAAGAGTATCTCGCAGTTGATGAGCCAGGAGGCGGCCGCCGCCGCGGCTGCCGCAGCCGCGGCCGACCACCAGTCCCTGCGCTGACTCGATCAACCGAAAACTTAACTGCGAAATCTCTCGGACGCCTGACCCCACAGGAGGTTGTTTACGTTCCTGCGGACCCCCGCCACGAGTGAGACATTTTGACACGCCGTGAGCGTTCCCTCTAGGCCTTTCCTCCGGGCCGCTGATGAGGTTGAGACATCGTACTTTTGTTTACAGCCGTGCAGGCACTGATATAATGAATTAAAAGCCTGTACGGAATTGGAGTAAACTGACGGAGGCTTGGACGATACAGAGACCAAGTGTATTTTTGTTTATACAGTGTCATTCTCCTTCTTGTTTTATATCTTCCTCCGAGAAGACAGGCTTGACATCAGGATCAGTAAGAGTTAGTTATTTGGGGGGCTTTTAATTTGTTTTGTAGCGCTGTGAATATATTGCCATCATATGCTCGATATTTATTAGTAACTAAACGAGTCCAACTTCTCACTGGGCTGCATTCGGACGTCACATCCTGCGCATGTCCTTATGTCCCCCCTCCATCTTTGAGACATCTTGTTGTTTTGTGCAATACCATTCGCCAAAGATTACAGAAAACTGAGCTGACAGTTTCTTTGAATTGAAACAAATATACACCATTTCGTTACTGACTCACCTTCATCTGGAAGATTGTTATGATATTTTGAGGAATAGCAGAGGAATTTCGTTTCATATCTTAGCCGGATAAGACCATAGCACCAGAAATATTTTCTGGATTGGGCGAAGGCTGTAATCATGTGGGTCGCAGGGTCCAAGGAGGGCACCTGCCCCAGGAAAACCAGAAGAGTATTACTGAGGTACAAGAAACAATGAAAATGGGGAAGGGGGGAGGGGAGACAGTTGCCTGGTTTCATTATAAGGCCTCAGAACTGATACCCTCTAGCTACTGTGGAGCGCATTTCGACCAACAGTGGGGGGGGGATCCTTGCGACACGAATGACGATAACAACCGGATTGCACACTGCGTAAAACAGAGGTGGTATGCTGTTTCGATCCAATTAATTAAAGTGAAAATTCTGCTGACTTGCCAAGTGAAGTTCCCCGAAACTGTGGTCGGTTGATTATTCTTAGGCAAGAGGTTGGGTGATGATTGCCCGTTTATCGTGTGTAGTTTGTGAAATTGCACATTTTTGTTTTTACTTGCTTGCTTGCTTGATGTGTGTTTGATTTCTTAGCTACTGCATTCCATGAACGATGAACAAGCTTATATCATGCCAACAACAAACGTTGTGATTATTACATGAAACATACAACTTCTGATCATGCATAATGTACTACCTACGAGTACAAGCTAAACGTTTACATGTCTTGCTAATTTACTCTAAATTGCTGGTCGAAATTATCAGTTTTGTGTAACATTTGTATTATTTACGGGGTCATTACCATGGGAAAAGCATCCAAAGGGTACTGATCAAACCTAATCATTTATCACCTCGCTCCATTATACGGTTTGATTAATTCCACAGAAACTGGCCCATTGACTATACCACGACTGGTGGATCTAACTGACCATAATATCGTATTGTCAGGTATTTCCAGTCCAGATCTTTCTGGAATAATGAAGAAAAATCATAAAGCTGTCTGCATTATGCCACTTATTAATTTTTACCATTTCGGACACGTGGGTACTTATTATTATTTTTAAAAATCTTAATGTATAACATTGCATTTGTTGCTTTACTGTAAAGAGAATGAAAGAAAAAGCAGTGTTAATAATCTACCCATTCAACCGATATCAAATTAATCCACGTACTGCCTATATTGAGTCCAATTTTAGAACATTTTAGAAGCATTTGCTCAGTATTCTAGGCATCAAAATTGGCAGGAAATTGAAGTGCATTTGACATTTTTTTTCGGCGTAATAGAAGGTGCAAAAACACTCTCTGGGACTATTCATGCGTGGCCACGGAGGCCGACAATAGCCATGCCACCGCAGCACTCCTACGTGTACTGCAGCCGAATGTGGTGACTGAACGAACAATACTGCAGTTGAAAATCCACCTGTTATGACGAGTCAAACTAGTCTCTGTTACATTTCAGGGTGTGCCACGCCTTCGGCTTTAAAACGGGAAAAGTGACAGAGTCCCTGATAAAGATTGCCCCTGCCACAAGACACACCAAACATGACTGTAAAAACTCGAAGGAAATAAATGCTTGGACTGGACGTGATGGCACACAACCTAGACAAAGTATCCAATCAAGTTCTAGGGACTATTACTCGAGAATTCTAGATGAGTTTCAAACCGTCTGGTTCTGTTTATAGCAGGTTGAATCGAGGAACTAAAGTACCATGCAACTTCGCGTATGTACTTGAACGCACGGCCCAAGTCCCAAGTCGGGTCTTGGTGTTTTTTTAATTGTCCCTCAAAACTGACCTGGGGTTTATGTCCAGGTTGAATTTCTTGATACTCAACTCTTACGCCTTAAGTTCAGGCGGTATGTCCTAACATTAAGGGAGTGTCCATCGAGGCCATAAATTGTTGGAAACCAAATAGTTTGTCATTTTGCTAACCCTGAGAGATGCTCGTTCACTAAACGTGTTCGTCTTTATTTCGGATAACATTGTTTTCACGAGGAGGTGAATCCTTGATCAAGGCTGAAATAACGTGTTTGCTCAATAATTCAATCTTGTAAAGTACTGCCTATATTCCGTTCTATTGCATGGTCAGATTATGTGTGTTGAGTATACTGGGCCAGTTCTGAAGTATAGATGGGGGGGGGATTGGTGACATTGTCTTTGTGTGCCAGTTAGCCATCCCCATCGTGTGTTAAATGTAATGCTTAAGGACGGGACATTTTGATGTAAATATTTGAAATCACTTTATATTACTGTGTAATGTAATTTACTTATATAGTTTCCATTAGACTATTGTCTATATAGAGCCATTTCTTTCATCTGTACATCCACTTCAGTAAAAAATGTGTCATTATAAAGCTTTTCAGATTCTTTCATTTCTTCTGTCCATTTTTGCCATGGTCTTGCGCATATTGGTTTTGTTTACACTTGTGTGTTCTTGTCCTTAACCCCCTGCCTCCACTAAGTCTTGGCCAGAAAAACACTGATTTGTTTGCAGTGTGGAAGGACAAAAATAAATCCCTCGATGGCGTTGAGAAACGAGGCCTGAATAATGCCGAATGGAATCTAGTCCTTACGGTGGTTCACACATCAGCTCGCTCGCTCGAATGCCACAACCGACGTGCATTTTGTAAACCGAGCAACAGCGACGGATTAAAATTCGCTCTCGGAAAAGCTGGTTCCTGGGTTCCTCTTTCTTTTTTTTCTGGATGTGGGTACTGAGTTCAGGGATACCGCCATCTTGGATTAATGTTGCTTGTTATTGACACGCTCTTCGCGGCAAACTGTGCTGCGTAAACAGCCTACCTTTGGCTATGTCACTGCAGTAACTGTATGCTAATATTTGGTTACAGAAGCCAGGAATAGTTCACTCATGAATTGAAAATAAATACGAAAAGTAGTCCCCAAAACTAGATGAGATATGCTGATCTCACAGTTGAAAATGAACGCAAAAGCTGTGGGTTTTTTGGAACATTTGTATTAAACGAATGGAAGGTCGAAAACCACAGTTTTCAATGATAAAAAGGATAGATATTTGCCCACACAGAGATCACGAGACCACCACGTAACTAAAAAATCCAAGATGGCAGGGTCCGTTTAATGTTCTCTTGCGAAACGCCACCACGCCAATGGCCTTGTTGCCTTTCTAACTCGACCGAATGCATGACTTGTAGATGATTTCCAAATCAGTTAACACAGAATTTTTATACAAATATGATTTCACTACATTTCAAAACGTAATCAAAAATAAATGTCACTATACAATGGAAGCAGCTGGTGAGAAACGACTTATTAAGCTTTTCTGGAGGCCACCGCATGTCGTATAACATGAATTCCATAAAATGTAGAATGTTGAAATTATCCTAATTGGTTTGGGACGGTTGGTTAAAATATAAAGCACAAACATGGCAAATGGTCTAATATGTCTAATATCAAGCAGATCATGGTTTGAAGCGTTTATGGATCCCGCTACGTTATTGGAGTGGTTTAGTTAGGCCATCATTTATTTAATCACATAAAATGTTTACACTGGTCGATGCCCTGTCCTCTGGCAAGCTGTCTCGTGGAAATCCCCTCCAGGAGTCCCCTTCTTAGCCTGTTGAATATATGTACTGGTAAAAAGCAAGCTGGCTGACGTTCCTTTTTAATGATCATCTACAAATGAATATTGACATTCAAATGCGGGGAACTGTGACATTTTGTCGTCTCTCTGGGATGAGCGAAATGCCATCAAGCCGCTGTTCTTTTGAAGGCTTCTCATACAGGCGCACGGCCGGTCAACCCAATCCACCACAAAGGCGGGGAAGTGATATTCTGAAATATACATGAACAGTTGGCCTTTATTGAAACCGCCCCTATGTTCCAGTCCCGATGAACAACCTAATTCAACAATGGCGCACGCCAACAGGAAGAATTCATAATTAATTTCATTACAGAAAATACCAACAACGATCTCAGGCAACTGCATGCATCCCGACTATGCTGAAGGTGATGGCGTTTGTGCTGCATGTATAACTTTCTCCATCTTTCCATCCCGCTCCAGGTGATTTACCCCTACGTTTTCTCCGTAAAGACGTTTCTAATGCCGTATCTCCCCCTTGCTTCTGTCGTCTCATATAAAAGAACTCTACCACCAAAAGTTGGGCCCAGTAATTCGCTGTGAAATGATGGACTTTACGTCCTTGCGATTAAATCTGCCAAGCTCTCCAATGATTGCACGCCAACAGTTGATGTTGAGGAGCGGGGCGGGAGCGGAGATTTCATACGGGCTGATGACGTAAATGCCATCATTTCATACAGACATTGTCCAAGTTTCGATATTCCATTAAAAAGGGGTGGATTTGGATGTCTATTAGACTATGTTGTTTAATGTTTTATTGTAACACTGCTGTGCATGAAAATGATTTCACTTAATGCTTTTGAAAAGTATATCTTGAACAATGGGAAAATTGGCAGTAGCGCCTTTTTAATTGATTGATTTCAGGCGGGTATTCTCACTTTATGTCAGGTTTATTTCCTAGTATTTCACGAAACTGTTGCTACAGCATCAGGTGTGGCACTTCGTTTGTGCTAAAATTATGTTCATTAAGGTTTAGCTGGTCATCGTGATATGTGAGATCGCCAAAGAGCACAACAATTAAAGAAAACAGAACCTGTTGATGCTGTCCACTGCTTAAAGGAACTTACCGGTAACTAAAATTGGCCAAGGTACACGTTGCGTAATCTTAATATCCAGAATTCTCGCAGGGCAGAAAGTCCTGCAGCGTGTCGGGGATGGACCCCGAGACCCAACGGACGACAAAAGCTGACGAACAGACCACACGCCGACTGGCCCTTCTCACAATGTCACATGGACTGAAGCTGCAAAATATACGAGGCTGCGCTAAAATTGAATAATGGGTCTGGCAGGACACCATCGCGATTTATCACCCTGACGCTCGACACCATTTATGTTTATGTGGAGCATTATTTTGGGAAGGTCAACCCTAAAGGATGGCAGCTCAGTCATCCCGATATTCCTGATGTGTTACAGTTGCACCGACGCCATTTTGAAAATTGATTAGTGAGATCCACTAGTAGGCGCTATATAGATTTTTTGATATTGCTCCCCACTTGCATGGGCAGCGAAAATTTTGAGATGATCACACTGAATTTGGGATTCGTCTCAAAATGTGAAGATCGCACAGTACTTTTTATGGGTCCATGCAATGTAATACAATTTTAATACGTTCCTTGAAAGTTTTCTTTCAGTTAACCACTGTTTTGCTACTTTATGAAGTAGTTACGGCTAATGTACATTTCCATATTCATGAGCAAGAGTGTGATATCTCATGCAGGGGAAAACCCTCAAATTTGCATCGATCTGTCCACAAAAACTGCTTGAATTTTCGATATTTGCAGACCTAAATTTTTCTGAGTGTGATCTATTGTTGTGTATATAAAACACATGACAGTAAGAAAATGAGCCAACCTTTCTAAGAAATGCTTCCAATCTTGGGTGCACATTTCAAAAAGAAAATTATAATTATACGATTTGAAAACTAGTTTCTTCCCACATTGGCTACATCACCCTCAGTTTACGAAAAAAAATAATTTTAAATGTTTAACTAAGTTGACTTTTAAAAGCTCTTAACCTCAAAAGAGTGCCAAATAGTTTACATTTATTGAAGAAAATGCACAAAAGTGTGTGTAGTAAAAGAAAATGTTATTCCATTGCTCCTTGAAAGAAGGCCGCTCTTTCATTTTGGTATTTAGTAGTAGGTTTGTAGTGGGAATCTGTACTGGCGACAAGCCAAAGTTCCAATAACCACTGGTGGGCGAACTGACAAGGAATGAGAGATGGCTCACTTACTATAGATTTGGCAGCTGGCATTTTGAACCTAAAATTGACAGTTTAATGGAGAAAATACAGGTTATATCACAACCTCACAATCACTGGCGCAACCAGGGGGCAAGGGACCCCCAGGACGGACCTTGTTACGCTGCTGCTCACAATGTAAAATCGACCAAGTCCCGCAACATTATCTGGCTGGCGCTGTTCGAAGATAAACACTTTTACTGAGTGAAGGTATCTGCGTCTATTCCTGACGATTTTCTCTATTCATGTCCACAGAAACTTTAAATTCAAGGCGCTCTTGATAGCAATATACTCCTTGACAGGTATGCTGCCGGATTTGATGGCTGACATTGCGGAGGTGTTGAGTGTCAAAGTCTTGTGGGAGATATGCCCTCCACATCCAGCAGTTTTCAAATTTCCCATGAAACTGTTATATTTATGTCCTTTTCACACTCAGTAATTTTTAGCTAAATTTGATAATTTTTGGTTAAGGACCAACTGTACATATGTTGTTGCAATTTTTGAAAAGTCAAGTTAAAGTCCTGTCCGCTTCTTTTCACAAAACAAAGGAAAATCCTGTGGAAAATATCGCCCAAGTATTTTGAATGGTGGTGGGAGCGCAAGACAGAATGCATGATCCTATGCGCAGACCAACCAATTACACCTGTAACTGCAAAGGTCGTACTCCATTCCTCGAATTGTGCCATTATCCTGTCGGCCACAAGCTTTGGCATCTGCTGATATCTTAATTGTCGTACAGACTGACTATTTCCGAAAGAGTGCTTAGCAACAGTGCCAATGTAACGAGGTATCCAAAGGTCTGCAGTGAGCAACCCCTCCCCCAAAAAAGAGTCAGAAAAGTTTTTAAAATGCATGAGTCATACAGTTCATGGGGATTGTTCATTACAGCTAGCATGCACGAAGATCACTCCCTTCGGTGGCTCAAGGGGAACCCATCGGCAGGCAATCCAAAGGCAAATGATTCATGATTTTTATTTTCCCAGTCTTTGTTCGCCAGCACTGACAAAAACCCGCGCTGACGTTAGCTGTGCGCGTAAATGATAGCGCTGTCAGGTTGCCGACCCGGCGAGATAGCTCAAACCTGGGGGAGAACTGCGCCGGAGAATCGCGGCCACATTTCGCGGCTGGCCATCCGCTCGGCTCTGCATCGATTGAGCGCGGCACGGCCGGGCGACAGGACGCACCAGCAAAGTGCAGAGGAAGTTGACTGGATCCTACCGCGCTGGGGGCTGAGGGGGGGGGTCAATATTTTCCAGCCTCACCGGTTCTACGAGGGAAACTAGATGAATTAATGTAGTTATGCATTATGAAAGCTCAATTTCAGCTGGGGGGGGGGTGATTACAAAATTGTGACGGGTTAAGAAACCGTTACTAATTCAGCTTAAAGACTACTCCAAACCTTGGTGCCCATGGAGTACAAAGGTTGATTGGCCTTTATGGACACGAATGGAGAAATTAAAGGGGATGTTGATGAATCCGACACAACAAACTCAAAGTGGACAATAGATACAACTGACCTACTTTTTATTCATACCGATTAGGAATGATGAATTACAGGAATGTCCATTTCAGACATTTTTATGCAAGATGGATAAAATTATCGCCTTTTCACTTTGTTACTGCATATCACTTCCCCAAATCACGTTCACATCTCCATGTTTTCCTTTCTTGAATACAGAAAATGAAAGAAAACGT